AGACCTTGTCTTTGTGCTGGGAAGGAGTGTGCCTAAGCATCAGCCTGCGCCTAGTACAAAGAGACTCTAGTGCCTCCTAGAACAGGTCGGTTTATGTCTGTGTATTATAACTCTTCACAAACGCATGCATTGTGCTCTCAAAAGGATTTAGTTCTGCTTTTCCGTGCTCTGATTAAGATGTTTGTGCTATTAGGGCACTGAGAAGTCTGCACGTAACTACACTACGATAGATTATCCCCGCGGTTAACTCAAGGAGGTATAAACTGACACACGCATTAACTTAAAGCAAAAGTTTATATTTTCAGTTCTTTGGAGGAATTCTTCCATCGCTAGAAGCAGTGAAAGTACTGTATTCAGAGAGTGCTCAAAAGCAGAGTTCTTTTTGTACAAAAGTGATGTATAATAGTGTTGGAGGAGTCAATGACTTGACTCAGTGAGGACTGGCAATAGATACTAGACAACTAGTATCGATAATACACATGGAAAATATAAACTTACAAAAGACTGCAAAACTAGTCTGATAGAAACTAAATAAAATTTCAGATTAATGAAAGCATCAATCAGTTACACGGTGTTCTGCAGCTCATAAGCAATTATAGCTGAAATAGAAAAAATAGCTTAGAAAAAATAATTTTTCTGAAACCTTAGAAAAGATGCTGAAAAACAAAGAGAATATTTTGCAGATGTGTTTGATTAGTATCTTTCATTTCAGTAAGTTTGTTTTAATGTTCAAACTTTCAAAGTTTCTTAAGGGAATTTTATCATGGGATGAGAGGGAAGGTCCCCTTGCGAATTAATTAGAAGGTAGAAAATCAAAAATAAAAGAAATAACTTTCATAATGGGGTGGGGTTCCTATTGGAGTCTCACAGGGCTCGGCGCTGAGGTTGTTTTTTTAAACATTCAGAAATTATCTGGAAAAGGAGGTGAGTGAGGAGACAACAAAGTTTGCAAAATGATTCCACAGAGCAAAAAATGAAATTGACTGTGGACAGTTGCAGGATTTCAGGACACTTTAACGTCTGCATGATAAAAGGACAGCTGAATTCAATGGCAATAAACATTAAGTCATTCCAGTGAGCTCCAAATTAGGGTTTTCCATTAGCTGTTATTACTTAGTAAAGAGATCTTGGAATCATTGTAGATGGCTATTAGCTTACATTTTGCACATCCACTCAAAGTTCACCAGGAGTCAAAAGGTAAATAGAATCATAGGAACAACTGGGAAAGGAGCAAAGAGCAAAACAGAAAACATCATTCTGCCACCAGATAATCCTCAGTGCATCCCGATCTTGAGTACTGCTTGCATTTCATCAGAGGAACATAAAATAACAGATACAGATGAGGGTGATAAGTTTAACAAAAGTATGGAATGCCTTCTGTAAAAGGAGAGGTCAAATAGACTAGGATTCTTGAGTTTCAAAGAGATGTAATTGAAGTGGGATACAACAGAAAATATGTAAAAGCATAACAGCATTGAGAATATGACAAGATAACAGTTGTTCACTGCTCCTCATGACATATAAAACTAGGGCTCCGGGTGAAATTATCAGAAAGGGGTTTGCAAACAAACAGAGATAAGTGGTTTTTTCTCCTATTACATGATTAAACCATAGAACCCACTGCTACAGTGAGTCTGAAGATACAAAATCACTCAAGACACGTTTACATAAACCCATGGGGAAAAAAAAAAACGAACACCACATCAAAGGCTATTAAACACAAGAATGTGGATAGGACCTCTGCTTCATGAACCTCCTCAGTTGGAAAGTGCGGAAGCTGGTAATACTGCTGTCTGGGTTTTTTTTCTGTTTTTACGCTCTATTCTTAAATGCTTAGTACTGACCACAGCCTAGTAGGCTTAGAAGACCATTCTCAACTTTGATTTTAGGTATCTGTTCTCCTAGTTGTTCACACATGCATGCACGATATCGTAACAAAAATACACTGTACTACAAAACTTCCACAAAAAGATTTCAAAATGTTTTGCAGGGGCAATGCATGCATGTTCTCATTACACACTAACAGAAGTATCAGCAGTAAGCGATATTTCTTGTAAAAGTGGAGATGCTTCATCTAAGGTCACAGTGGAAAAAAACAGGAACAAGAACTAACTTCCTGCCCTCCAACTACTGATTCTCCATAGGAATTAGAAGCTTGACCTATTGCTAGTAACTTGTAGGTAAGTTTACAAAGAGCAGAGAGCCACAACATCCACCAGTGCCTCCAGTATTTCTTGTTCTTATTTGTCAAAAGCAGAGACAGGATTGCAGCCATCTCCTCTGACCTGTATGAGCCTGCTCAATTCAAGCCTTCAGAGGCTTTCTGGGGATAGACCTGAGTACACCTCAGAGCCACCTACTTCAGGAAGCCTAAAGGGCACAGTTAGCCCTTTCACAGCAGGGCAGCTATCTAAAAAGTGTTTGGGGCAAATACTACTGGATCACCATATCACATTTCTTCCTATGCTAAGCAGTAGCTGCGCTTTAATTCTAAACCCCAAGAAATACTTCATACAACTAATATGGACCTAGCATCTCTGTACTGGCACTCTAGAAACACAGCTTATTTTGTTCTTATCATTAAAATAGAAGGCTTGTGGGCAATCCATCACAAGAAAATGACTTTTGATCAACGGCAAGATTGCAAAAAGACGATGGTTTCTCAGGCAAAGAAGAAATTTTGCCATAGCAAGATGCATTTCTCCCTAATTCACAGATCAAGGAGTCTATGATGCCTGCACCTTCATAGATGAGGAATCTACTTTCCACAGGAAGTTCAGGCTACTCCATACATCAGCGTAGAAGGGAGTGGGTGACCAAAGCGTCCCATAATACTTCTCCCATCCTGACTATAAACATAACAGGGTTGCATATGAAGGCTCTTGTGATTTTCTTCCCTGACATAAGAATTTTTCACCATGTCATCCAGATCAGTTACCTTTCCATAAGTGTATTTGTCTGCTTCCACCATCTTCATCCATGGTTCTAGCAGAACAGTGAGGATATATTCTTCTGCTGGATCAAAAAGATCCTCAAAAGCTGGGTCAATTCTCTGATAAATCATGTTTTTCTTACTCTGATGAAGTCCAATGTCCATACTGGCAGATGGGGCAATGTAAGTTGCATAAAGGAACTATAATAAAACAGAAGAAAACTGTTTCTTAGCCATCATCCATTCCACTCGTCACAGTCTATTGGAGGAGAGAACTAATGCATATTTGTCCCCCACTGCCCTGCAGTATATTCTGAATGTATGTCTAGTTACATCTGCCTTGTTTTTACCAATATTACTATTTTGTCTAAAATTCGGTTATTGCCATGACTGACCTCCCTGCCATTTTTACTCCTACTTATTAAAATGGTTAGATCATAAAATAATGCTTTATCTAAATTTTGCTTGGAGATATTTGGCTGATTCTTAGTTAGATTCAGATAACCATAATCATTACAGCAACCACACTCTTCAAGAAGTCACATTGTTGTTTTACAGAATATGTTGTGGGCCAACTTGTGAAGGAGTCTTACTTCTTCTGAATAGAAGGAAATTTGTACATTTAAGGTTAAAATTAATGAAAAATTATAAGATTTCATTCTGTGTGGAGATTCTTTTGCATAATTCTTTGACATTGGTGAGACTCCGCCATGGTACAGGATCTGTAACAGGAGATACCACTGCACAACTGAGGTCTAAATCCTTACCAAAGCAAGGATTATAATATGCCTTTTTATGAAGTGCAGAGTTTGCCATTCAACATGTACAAACAGTAGAAAGCTGAACCTGGAGAATGTATTCTTCTCACTAGTAGCTCATTCTTGAAGCATAGGATAATTTTTTTATTTATTTCAGAGGATTTTTTTTCCCAAATATTACCCTAAGTCAAATTCTTTTTTTTCATAAATTTAGTAATAAATAATAAA